CAATGCACCGGTATGCTTAATTGTCTCTGAAAGTTTGTCTGCGAGGTAAATGTTGTGGCCTGGATCGCTCAAGCGATCCGTCGGTCGCTCCTGCAATTTGTGCACAATCGCTCCAATCGCAAAGTCTGACATCGGCCAGTCGCTTGACATGCGTAAAAAGCCTGAATGTTCGAGTTCACCGAGGAACTGCGTCATGGTGCTTATTAACTGGAATAGACCCCTTTGTTCGCTGCGGGAATCTCGGGTCCACTGATGATCAGCGGTGGACCTGAGGTTCCCGCAGCGAAAAATGTTTCGCGCTGCAAAACGCAAAAAAGTCGCTTTCTCTCCTAGTGAATCGCACCCTTGATGGAATGAGATGGTTGAGGAGTATGCAATAGGCAATCGATGTCGAATGAGCTGTGAAATGGCGATGTCATGACGGAACACTAGAGAAAAGGCCTTAGTAACGTAAGTACTTTCAGGACAACACGGTCTATATTGAACAAAATTGGAATTGCATAAGAACATACATACTTGAAACGTTCGGAGAACTTTCGCACGAAAAAGGCAACGTACTAGTCGTATTATACCAGAGATAACTTCGAAAACAAAGGAATAGTTTTAAAAAATCCACAACAACCTATTACATAAATGTACCACTTAATAAAGTGGTAAATGATCCCCTATGCCAGAATAGGTGTTAGAACAGGTCCTTATTTTCTCAGAGTTAAGGTGAACTCCAAAATAGAAAAAAATCTAGATAGCCCGCAGCACGTAACAAGCAAGTCACGGATTTCGATCGCTAGCTAGAATGACGTACCCGGCCCGCGACGTCGCGCGCGGTGCCGCCTGCCGCCGTGCACTGTGGGGGCCCGATGAGGTGGTAGGTTATGGGCGTTGATCGTAACTCGTTCACGGAAGCCCGCATGTACTCCTCTGATTTGTATTCACAAGGTGACATCACATCCATTTTGCCACCTTACGAAATCGAACCAAATGGCATTGTGAGTTTACACTTGAAATTTTACCTAAATTTTCTACTCTATTTCTCCATTCTTTCTTTATAAGTATTTCATAAGTCAATTAAGACAGCATTTCCTATCTCTCTCACTTTCGATAGCCCATATTGTGTTTGCCCGAATGATATTCCACGGGAAAGGAATGGTTAATACAGAAATGCACATCCCACAATCAGTGCCTGACACAGTTCCCGAAGAGGACGCGTCTCTTCAATTTTACTTTAAGGCGGAGGCAAGCAGGGTTGCGTCACAGGACCCAATATATCCTTGCTTTCCCACCTTTCCAGGGCCGTGATCAATCCTTCCCCCAGGAAATGCATTCTCCTTCTGTGATTCAATCCTTCCTCAATTTTGGGGTGAGGGGAGCGGGGATTCGCTGTAACCCGCCTACGACCGCTCCTTCAACTAGTGGCGCGGGTATAGGTACATTTCTTCAAAGGTTTCGTAACGTCCCATCGGTCGACGGACTACTTGAACTCGGTTCTTTGAAACGCTTCAAGTCGATCCTGTCGTCTGCGCTCTCTCGCCTCATCAACGGCTTATGACCCTCCTGACTTACTGCGAAGTATGTTGTGCAGTCTCACTCGCATTTCTTTCATGCAACTTTTCTTTTAGGTCGTTCACTTCTCGGCATATCGCCCTCACTATCGTTTCACTGTTTCATTCTAGGTATTATGAAACAGCAAAACAAAAGTGAGCGCAGAATGCCGAGAAATAAACGCCCTCAAAGGATGTTG